TATATATATATATACATAGTATACATGTGTATATATGACCCTCACGTGTTGCCCTTGGGTAACCCTGGATACAAATATATATAAATATACTAAATAAGAGTAAATAAGACTAAATAAGAGTAAATAAGACTAAATAAGACTAAATAAGACAATAAAAGAAGGAAAAAAAGTAATAAAAAGGACATACCTGTATAACACTTTCCTTAAATGGAAGAAATGCACCTTTTTGTTGGGAAACAAGTCGCTGAAATTCAGGATTGAATACCTCACCAAGGAGGACACAGGAACCTGTATACAAATAAATATATACATATATATTTATTTTATTTATTTATTTATTTATTTTATTTTATTATATTAATTAATTCAATTAATTAACATATTGTTTATTGAATAGTTCATTATAAATATACATACAGATGGGGAATTAGTCTGCACATAATACACGTAGTAATAGTTAATCCATTTAATGAATTAATTAATTTAATTAATTAATTTAATTAATTAATTTAATTAATTAATTTAATTAATTTAATTAAATAACTAACCTCTTTCTGCAGGACCAAATGCCCAAATAGAACGAGCAGCCAACAGATCCCATCCGTACTGGGAGGAGAAATGTTCACCAAGAGTCCTAATAAAAGGGGTAAAAAAAGAATAAATAGATAATAATATAATTAATAATAAATAAATAAATAAATAAAGTATATATATATCTGTATATATAGCTATATAGCTATCTATTTGCTTACCTTTGGTCCCATTTATCACTAATAAGTCCTCTTTCTAGGTCTTCTGCAATTCTTTTCTCTAATGGCTCAGCAACCATATAAAGTTTATTCTTTTTATTAGGAGATTCAGCAAAACATTTCAAGGCACTCGTCTCTACAACCTATACACAGCAGCAGGAGCAGGAGGATAGCAGCAGGATAGCAGCAGGATAGCAGCAACAACGTTAGCGCAAGTATTACCAGCAACAACAGTAGCACATGCAGCACCGCATGCAGCAACAGCAGCAACAGCAGCAACAGCAGCAGCAGCAGCAGCAGCAGCAGCTTACAGTTTCGCAGAATTTGACGACGGGGTCGCTAACTTTGACCTCCATATTACCATAAAGAAGACGAAGATCATGAAGTAAACAATCTAAATATAACTCTCCTGTCCCGCATATTACGTGTTCTCCTGTATATATATAATAACATAAATATAAATATAAATATAAATAAATATAAATAAATATAAATAAATAAATATAAATAAATATATATAGGATTACATGCTGCAGCAGGTGCTGCAGAAGGGGGAGCTGTAGTAAGTGCAGCAGCAGCAACAACAGCTCCTACAGGTGCAGAGGAAGAAAGAAGAAAAAAAAAAGAGGAAAAAGATTCTTACCTGATTCCTCTACCTTCATTTGTGCAATTGGATATGCTTTGTCTATTCTTCTTAAACCCTTCAATTCATCACACATATAAACCCTAAACCCTAAACTGTAAACCCTAAACCCTAAACCCTAAACCCTCAACATGCAGCTAATTCTGTATGATTATCTATATATGCAGGATTACTAAATAAATAGTGTTTATTAGTGTTATTTATTGTTAATTATTGCTCATTAGGGTATATAAAGGTTTATTATATATCTTAATCATTTTAGGTAACTCTCTAGGTTGCAGAGGTTCGCATGCAACCTTGAGTACTGGGGCTGTAATAAAGTATAGAGGTGTAAACAATCCTATCTGCATATTACTATGAATTAGTGTTAGGGTTTAGTGTTAATTAGTATTAATTAGGGTTTATTAGGGTTAATTAGGGTTTACCTCAATCATTTTAGGTAATTCGCTAGGTTGCAGGGGTTCGCATGCAACCTTGAGTACTGGGGCTGTAATAAAGTTGAGAGGTCTAAAGATTTCTACTTCTGCTGAATTATCTATTGATGTAATTGTTGATGTTTTTTTTACAGATAAATCACAACCACCTATTAATACCCAACTACCTAAACAATACACATATACATATATATACATATATACATATATACATATATACATATATACATATATACACATATACATATATACATATATACATATATACATATATATACATATATATATATATTATATATATATTGTACATATTTTATATATTTATTTGCTATTATTTATTATATATATATATATATATATATATA